CCTCAAGAACCACAATACTTCCTCCAGTATTAGGAATAAGCCCGTTTTGACTTGGCATATCCTCTTGCGTATTTTTTCCAGAAATTATAGTTTCCTTCCCTGTTGTCACTTTTGAAGCTGTGTGATTGCCTTGTTTGGTCTTCTGGACATAATTGTTACGATTCGTTTTCTTGCCTTTTTTGACCAACATCCATGGCCCATACATATCCTCTGAATCATTCGAAGCTTTGGACTGATCAACCTCTGAAGGTGGAGTTGCACTTTGATTCATAGAGCCTGTACGGGTAGCAGTACCCATCGTTACGTCTTGGTTCCTTGCATCAACCTCCATCACATTTTCACCTACCTTTGCGCCTTCCTCACCATTAACAGGATGGTGATCCATACCTTCTCCGCAAATGTCTTGTCTGTGGCCATATTTTCCACATCTAAAACAAATCGAATGTAGTCCTTCATATTCTAGCTTGATTATGTATCCCATCACATTTATCTTAGACACTAGTTTCTTTCTCAGGTTAACTTCTACGCATATTCTGGCAAATTTTCCCCTCGAGTGTATAGATGTCAATTTATCAATCTTAAGCATAGTGCCAAGTTTGCTACCCACACGCCATAAGAAACGATCGTTGTAGAGTTCGATAGGTAGGCCTGGAATCCTGATCCATGCAGCAACATTCCTTGTTTGGGAAGTCGTTATTGTGAAAAAAGGTCTCCAACGTTGAACTAGTATGTAGTGATCCGCAATCATCCAAGGGCCCTCATAAAGAGCATGACGATAATCTTCTTCTGCTGAGAATTGCACCAGGTAGTAATCATTGGGCATGTCAATAATCCTAGCTGATCCAGATCTGACCCAATCACGATTGATTTTATGCTCAATAGCTTTGAACGAGATTCGCTTCCCCAGAACATTGATTACTAAAGCATTCTTCCAGACTGAGCACCATTCCTCAAATTCATCTTGTGAGACATTAATAGTTGGGCACGGGTCAAGGTCTTCTTCGTTGATGTCCTGCGAGTTTGTGTTAGCAGAGAATCTGTCATCAAACTCCTCCATCTCCTTCAGTAAGCTATGGTAGTCGGAAAAAATTTTCCCTCCTCCAGTGGACAAGACGCTCTCAGCATAAGATTTCTTATGGTCACTGTTTCCATGACTCTCAGCGTCATGGTCTTCCATGGTGTCATCCAGTTGTTCGTCCACGATTATATCATCAGTAGCCTCCTTCGTTTTGACCTTCTTAGTGCATCTACGCTCCATATTATCCTTCTCTCCTTCAGAAACCCTAGCAGAGCTCTCCATGTAAATTATTTGTTTTTTTTTTGTTTTTTGTTTTATTTTATATTATCATGCGAAAGAGAAACAGAAACTTCGTGTTTCATTATGTTTATTTTAGAAAACAAAATAATAGAAATTAAATGATAGTGCCATCGTGGATGATTGTATTTGAAATTGAGTAGTTTATAATAGTTATAAGAGTACATTAGTCTTAAAAAAACAAAAAGAGAGAGACAAAAACAGTTATACAACAAGATTGACTTAAATAGTTTTCTTTTTTAAGAAGAAAGAAATAACATGACATTCTATTTTATGAATAACAACACCAAATTTATAGTATATCAAAATTGTCCTTGTTTTGGATTCTCATAGGTCAATCTTTTTTAGTTTTTTTTTATTATTTATTTTTTACT